AATTAGTTCCAGGACAGCCAGGCAATGGAGACCAAACCCTGTCTCAAAAAAACAAACCAACCAACAAACAAACAAAAAACCTAAAATAATAAATAAGTATGCAAACAAATAAATAAATATGAAATGAGGATTTAATTAGCAGGTAGGTCAGAATTGCTAAGAAACAAGCTTTATTTTCGCATCAAGCTTTGGCCTGACCTTAAGGAATTCTTTATTTGACTTTATTTGAAAAAGTCGTGCCCTTTATTTAGTTTTAGAAGGCTGTGAGGTGTGGTGGTAAACACTTGTAACCCCAGCACTCAGGAAGCTGGGACAGACAGACTACTTAGGGCTCAAGGATAGCCTAGACTACAGAGTGTGACCTGGTCTAAAAAAAAAAAATATCAAAAACAATTCTGGTGTCTGGATGCTTGTTCATGTTTAATAAAGTCCGTCTCCATTGCTTTGCAAAGGTATCTCTACATGTTTTTCAAGAAAACGAAAACTACCCATGATTTAGTATGGTCAAATAGATAATCATCATGTATCTGGGAAGCACACGGTCTAAAAGGGGCCTCTGGCAAGGAGTGAAGAGAAGATATTGGGGGAACTAGCCCCCAGCCCAACTCTGAAACTGCAAAGGGTTAGCTTCCTCCTAGAGCACCTCTGGGGTGAGGCACTCCAAGCCTGCAGGAAGTTCCTCAGCTATGGGCCTGGGCCCCAGAGAAAGCAACTCCCCACTCTTCCCTTGCCTCGATGTCCCTGTCTGTAAAGTGGGAAGCACTCAGGAGCTACCTTCAGCGAGCTGCTATGCTGATCAAATGCACCAGAACAGGCAAATCTCTGAGAACAGAGTCTGAGGGAGCTCACTGCTCCAAGCATTGTCTTGCCGAGAAATGGCTTTGCCCCATTCCCAGAGGCCCAGATAGCATGCAGGGTCTTTTCTAATCTTCTCATGGAAAGACAACAGAGGCGACACTCACTGTTGGACTTGTGTGTCCACACACACACACACACACACACGACAGGAGCAAAGGAACAACTTAACAACACAGGACCTTCAAAGCAACAACTTCACACTTATTCAGAGAATTGGAGGAGGACGTAGAGGTTTATACTGACTTCTGTTCTCATTAGAAGGAAAAGGAATCCTACCTCATCCTACACCAAACCCAGCACCAGTCAGATAATGTGCTGTGTTTATCTTTCTTCTCTGGACATAGGTGAAACTTTAGAAAACTGAGGCTACCTGGCACCATACTTCAGTCACACAACACTCACTAAATACATTTCTCTATGCCATTAAAAAAAATTTTCAAATGACTTCCCAAATGCAATTATTGCAACATAAATGAGAAATAACGATTAATTGGCGCACCCTTTCTTAAACCTACAGTTTTCACGACAAAAATAACCTACCAAGGAAGACTTTGGCTTCCTTATCACTTAGCTTATTTGTTTTTAAATATAATCTACCAGCCAAAAATAAAATTTGGAAGTTGGAGAGGTAGCTCAGCACTTAAGAGCATTTGTTCCTCTAACATGGGACTGGGGTTCAGAGCCCAGAACCCAACATGGTGGTTTGATAAACCACTCATGACCCCAATTGCAAGGGATATGATGCCTCTTCTGACTTCTACAAATACCAAGCATGCACACGGTGCATTCACAGGGTGCATGTACATCCATGCAGGCAAAACACTCACATGCATAAGATAAATTGTTAATTAAATTAATGTTGAAGCTCACTGAGGGAAGAGTGTCACAGATAAAATGACCATTTGCAAATTAAGCCAGTTACACACATGGTGACATCATCTGGCCGTAGCAGGTGTCTCCTCCCAAAGCTGGCCAAGTCTGAGAGTTACCTAAAGAGCCCGTGGAGGGCGTGGGAGCTGCTTGGGTGTTACAGAAAGCCTCACGGGACAAAGTTGAAAAGTTGGAAAGGGAAAAATAAGAACGGTGAGGTTAAGACGGGGAAAGGGGATTCTGATGAACCCCATACAGTATACAGCAGCTTCCTAGAGCCCTCTCTTCCGGTAACCTAAGGCCTGTGATTCGGAGTGATGGGCTTACAGTCTAGCAGACAGTGCAGGCGTCCGCTTGTGGTGTATGTACCATCGCGGGTTCAGATGAACCCTGCATCTCACTCAGAGTCACACAGTTAGTGGTGTGTGTGCTGGTAAATGAGAAGTATAAGTCAGCTAGATACATAGTTCCTGTGATTTATGATAGTGTCTGCTGCCTTTGTCTCCGGTGCCAATATCCAGCATTTAAATAAATATTTTGTGAACATGGGGAGGGGAGTCCTTGGACTTCTGGTTCAGCAGAATTACTGTTTTCCTTTAGAAGCAGATAAATGAAAATCTTCGCAGCTCACCTGGGGGGATAGTCTCTCAGTGAAAGAAATTGACAATCTCATGCTTACAGAAGCATGGGCACACCCCTGATTGGAACTGGCTGAGCACACCCCTGATGACTGGGACTTGGGCATCATTGCAAAACCACACCACAGACATATTTAGTCTTTCACAGGCATCTAAACTCCTCCTCCAGGTCAATCACCGAGACGCTTCTCTGGTCATGTCAAAATGAAAAATCATGTCTCAAGAGCATCAATTTTTCAAAAAGGTATAAGCAACCCAATATCCTCGTGGCCTAAGTCTCCCTCACACCACGGGCACAGGGGGATAGAACCCAGGGTCCCGGGACAGAACCTACCTTGGGAGAACTATAAAAACATGGAAAAACTAGAACAAAACCAAAGAAACAAAGCAAAAACGACACATATAAACCTTCTGCCTAAGTCACAGACATCACGTCCTCTGCTGGACTGACCGAGCTGTTTGTCTGACTCATGAATAACCGGTCACCTAATAAGTAGGTCATTTAATAAGTAGGCAGCAAGCCACATGCTCCCCATCACCTGAATGACAACCAAGACCTAATGCATCCATTCAGAGGAACGAAGGGTCCTGTTTTTCCATTTGTCCCAAACAGATCTTTTAATCATCTAAATGACAAGAAAGATCTAAATATATTGCAAGATTTCCCACTTTTCCATAATAGAGGTATTTAACCTTCTAGTCACCAGAACGACAAGGAGGAACTAATAACATCCTTTCAAAATATGAGCAATTGTGTGTTTTTCCATCTATTCAGGTCACCAGCTTAAGAAAAAATAAACCCACTCTGATTTTTTTAAGTCTGTGGGGTGTATAATAATAAACCTTTCCCTCCAACATAAAGTATTGATCTAGACAGCATTTTTGATGGTGGATTCAACATAAAAAAAAAAAACACAACAAGTAGTGTGTTTTTTAACCTTAGTTTTCAAACACTTTAGCAAGCAAATAATTCTTTTTGGCTCGCCCCCTTGTTCAGTGCTCTGCGGCAGACAATAGTCACGGCTTTCACAGCTCACCTTGGTGAGCAAAACTCAGCCCACATAGCTGGAAGTCAGTGGGGCTCCCTGGGGTACCTCTCCTGAGAGTCCTTTCCCTAGGCATGTGCCAAGAATCAAATCTTGGCCACTTAGTGCTCCGTGTTCCACATGTGAGCTCCCGATGCACCAAGCAGCTACACTAACTGAGACAGATAGCCCTGTCAGACAGGAAGCTGGCATGCCAGGATGCAAGCGGTGGGATACAATGACCTTTACACTCAAAGAAAAATATCCCCCCACAGTGGCACGAAAGTTTACGGGCCACAGGGAGAAGGTTTTTATTTCATTCGGGCACATCCCGCGAAATAAAAAGCAGTGGTGGCCAAATCCTGAACCCCACACACAAGAAAGGAAGTTTTCCAGGAAAGAAGACGGGCACCCTGCATCACGCTGCTTTAAGGGCAGGGGACTCCACAGTTGCTGCCAGCCCTGTGCCAAGCCTGGCTAAGTACAGGATATGCCCAGGGCATGGGGAGGATATTCTTGACTGCCCTGAGAGATTTAAACTGTAATTTAAACAAAGTCTACTTAAAAAAAAAAAAACACTAATGTGCCTATAGAATGAGCTTGCAAGTCTGGGTCCTGTGTTCCCAACTTCTGCATCTTTAACTCCATAAACACTTGATTTCCCTCCCCCCCCCCAGCCCCCTTATCAGAACCATTGAAGTCAATTGATCTCTCTTAAGAAGTGAAGTCAGATTCAAGATACAGCAAGTATTCTTGGGACCTACAGGAAGGTTAAGTAAACACCATAAGATAGGAAATTAGCATAGAAAGTGAGACCAGGGTGTTATAAATGTCTCACCTTTATCTATAAACATTATCATAAACTATTCAGTCACTTCATCTGAAAAACAAGGGTAAGAATTCTACTGGTTCAGGTTGTTCCCCATTATTCAAAGTTTGAGGAATACTGTAATTATTTGTTATTTTGCTGAGGCTTCGGCGAGGGAGAACAATGGACTAAGCTTTGAAAAGAAGAAAAAAAGAGAAACTCACATAAGATCCCCGGTATGACCAACACAATTATGCAGCTTTAGTCGTTAATTAAATAGGTAAAAGGGGTGATTACAGAGAAAGTGACTTTTTTTTTAACGAATGTTCCACATCAAAACTGTAGGACAGTTTTCAAAGGGCACAAAAGAACAAGATGCGCCTGCTTTTCTGTTTAATTAAAACCTGACGGCAAACTGCAGAAACCGTGGGCCTGAGGCTGCAAATAAATACATTTCATATGCTTATAAATCATATATTAGAGTTCGGATAAGTCAGCCGTCAAAGATCTCTCAGCACTGGCCCTGAGAACCCCAACTTGCTGACTTAGCGAAAATCATCAGAAATTATGAATGCAAAAAACACCACGAGGATTGCTTTGAAACACAAGTCGATTAGGGCGGCTTTCGAGGCGCTGGCCAAATACTTGGCAGAACAAGACAACAAGATTCTGCAGGATTTCTGCTGCCTGCTGTCAGATGTGGCATCTGACAGCTGGCCATTTTGTAGGCCTTGTTCTGAGGAAGCTATTCTTCCTCAGAGCACAGGAGAGGCTAGGGAGGAAAGAAAGCTGAATGAATACCTTGGGCCTGAGCTGCAGAGCTGTGGGAATAGCCCAGGGCCAGGAGCGCGGTCTCCACCAGCTGGCTAAAAAGCACGTCTTTTCGCACCAGGACGAACTCGGCGTGCTCTTCTCTGTTGTCATATTCCAGAGAGCCGTCCAGCTGCTCTACCACACAGAAGACAGGAATCATCAAACCTGGGAGGGACACAAACCAACAGCAAAACAGGGACGTTACAAGGCAGTCTGGGTCACCGGGAGGATCAGGGCAAGACAGTTCTAAAAGCTATGTCAGCTAGGACGCGCCCGAACAGTGTGGGGTGGACAGGCCTGATTGTTTCAGGTGCCCTGTAAGCCTGCAGGTGAGGGGAGAGGTCGTCTCTATGACTGAGCCATTGCAGCAGCATTGCTGGGTGCCAGGGCAGAGTATCTCAGGTTCTAGTGATTAAACGGCAGTCTACACCAACTGAGGGTATCTGAGCACACGGCCCAGGGCGAGGGGACCGTAGCACCTTTAATATTTACTGTTATTTTCACTACAAACACTTGTATTTTCAGGTCTGCCCTGCTTTTGTCTGGAATTTTATTTTAAAGCTGCCTATAGTACCCAATAGGAGGCACGTTAGATCTCCAGGCCTGAGAGGCCCGTGACTATATACAGGAAGGTCAACAAGAATTCAAAAGAAGTCCTCTTCTAGGCTTTCTCTTTTTTAATCTCAGTAAACAACCCACCAAGTGAGCCTGAAAAACACACACACACACACACACACACACACACACACAGCTCGTGAACATCTCAGCTAATGTTTAACTAATATAAAACACACAGCCAAATGCAAACTTTACCTCCTTGGAATTATTTTATACACGGACACAAGCCACCCCTGGAAAGAGTACTTCTCAGTGTTTGCAAAGAAGAAAGCATAAACTATCCCAGAGAATAAAGCAAAGTCGACTATTGGAAAATCTGTTGAAATCTGTTGTCACTGAAATATTTCTCTGCTTCGTATCAAAGTGTGAAAACCTTAAAAAATGTTTAATTCACCAACCGCTTTTTAGACCTTGTTTTTTAAGGGGGAAAAAAAAATCACGCAGGCATGTAAATCTAAACATAGCCGAAACAGAAGAAGATCAAAGATTCGCCAATGTACAAGTAATAAACATGGACTCTGCCCGGTGTAATTCACACAAATCAGGACATGGTGGGATGAGGGTCTGCTCTGGGTCTCCGTGCAACAAAACACAAAAGTTCTGAAGGCTACATGAGCAGGCAGAGGGAGGCCTGAGAGGCTGTGGTGGTCTGGGGACAGGCACCCCATGAGAACAAGACCTCTGTAAAATGACTGGGAATGGGCCCCATGTTCAGAACGCATAGAAGGCTTCTAGAAAGCCTTCCCTGCTCTGACCCCAGGTGCCTCCTACTTCACTGTGACCTGGCAAAGCCGAGAGGAGAAGCAGACACTGCAGACTCCCGGCCCATAGATCTAGGTTTTTGTTCTAAAGATAAACACAATGGTACGACTGGTTCCCATGTGCTAATTATTATTATTAAAGATAATAAGTATTGGGTACAATTATTAACTATCATTATTAACAATAATCATACACATTAAGAATCGCTATCGTTGAAGTTCAGGGTAATTATTATTAAGCCCGCACAGCGGTCAAACGTGTCTCGCCACACCACACTCAGGACAGCTCTTGATTCGCAGGGCATGATTCCCCACAGCGAATGCACAGGGCTTCGTAGAGCTTCGTGGAAAATCAAGGGAGCAGGGAGGGAGGGAGCCCAAGTTTTCGGGAAAGAACATGATTCATCAAGGGCTGTTTTCCTCGGTTACCAGCCCTGGTTCCTGGAGTATTTACGATTTTATTAATGTATTTATGGGAGGTTATTCCCAAACATGTCTGCACATACATAATAGATGGTACAGACTAGATATGGTCCACATCATCCTTCCATCGTTCATCCGGACAGTATGTATTCATCGCACCTACTATGTGCCAGGTACCTAACCCATCGCTCCACAGAGATAGATAAGAAAGAGTCACCTATGGCTTCTGCCCACACTGCAGTTGGAGGCATTGTAAAACCTTCCTAAGCAGGCACAATGGCATTTTACACAGCCCATCCAGGAGAGCCCTTCCCAGCACGGAGAGCCCCATTTAGACCTTTTAACTCTTGCATGCTGGCCTATGATCTTTGTCAAAGGAAGCAGGCTCATTTCTCCTGCTGGTGATTTAAGCATATGCACACACACAGCCACGTAGCCAGCGGGGCCATGAGCGGCTTCCCCACTAAGACCTGTGTGTACTTAAGTTTCAGTGCTGAAAATCCATGTGAGGTTCCTACTGTCAACATCCGAGTGTTACAGATAAGGCCTTTCAACCAGTCAGACTTCTCCAGAAGCCAGCGTTCACCCACGGCTACAGTAAGCCCAAGACTGGCTGAAAAGATCCTATTAATTTCAAAGTAGCAGTATATCCCGTTTATATGTACAAAATATTACATAAAATCCCGGGGATCTATAATATGTAAGAGACTTCTGCTTTATAGCTGTCAATAGGGGAACTGTTTCCTAAGCATTTTAGTTCAATGACGGCAGAGAGGAACTGCTAAGTAGCCCAACAGCAGAGATCCCTTCTAGGCCGTCTCCTTCTGGGTATCACCTACGGCGAAAAATAAAATGGCTCCGTGGAGAAAGGGCTTGCTGTAAGAATGAGGCAGAGCCCAGATGCCCAGCGCAGGATAAAAGCTGGAGACAGTGGCACGCGTGTCTGGAAAGGCTGCACTGGGGGCCGTGAAACAGTGGGTTCCCCAGGCTCGCTAGCCTGCCAGCTTGGTCAATATGGCAAACTGCAGGATCAGCGGGATACCCTGCCTCAAAAAATAAATAAATAAAACAGGCAGAAAATGATAGAGGAAGACACCCAACATCAGCTTCAAACCTACACATATATACACACACACATACACACAGGGCAAGCCACACACACATACACACAGGGCAAGCCACACACACACACACACACACACACAGGGCAAGCCACACACACACACACACACACACACACACACACAGGGCAAGCCACACACACACACACACATACACACAGAGCAAGCCACACACACACACACACACATACACACACACATATCATAATAGGCTGCATTTCAGCGCTATAAAAATGAACCTTTTTGCTAGTACTTGATCGATTTAACAATTACAGTTTTACAATAAAGTTCAGCTATCACTAAAAAAGGGCACAAGAAACGGATGCAGTGACTAATGACAATGGCCAAAGAAGTGAGTAACAGCAAAATACTATAATTGAAATGAAAATTAAGGCATGGGCTAAGGAGCCATTGAAAACAGGTCACCCCTGAGGGAAGCCATAAAAGCATGGATAGAAATGAGGACCCCAAAGAGAAGTAATCACTCAGCTGGCCCTACTACTGCTTCCAAACAAAGGAAGACTTAAAAAAAAAAAAACAAAGGCAGGTAGGGTATTTTCAAAATACTTCAAAAATAAATTTCACAGTGGGAAGAATAAATAAAATAAGTTCAATAAAAAGCCAAGAGCATAAAACTCAACGGAGTTACAGGTTATAAATGGCCACAGAGAAAGAGAAAACACAAGGAGCCCTGTGGCCCTGGCCCTGCGTCTGAGCTTAGGGCATTATTTGGCTTTTATTGTAGCACAAACCCATTTCCAGATGATCAAGTGGAGAACTTTGGACCTTTTGATCGTAAGCCTTGCTAAGCCTTTTACAATTGCGGGAGGGAGGCAGGTAGTTTAATGCGAGGACAGGCACTTGGGCCCCAGCCATTCACTAAAAACTCAAGACTAGTTCAGGCAAGTGGGAGAGAAGCCATCCTCTCTCATCCGGACACAAAACATGGCTCTCTCCACTAGGGAAAAAGCTGCTTCCCTGGTGGCCGTTGGTTATGACGGTTGCCGTTGGTTATGATGCCGGGACGGCCATTTTCACGGTGGGTGCATCAAGCAGGCCATGGTGACAGCCTCTGCCCCAACACCTGGCGTGGTGGGGGGTAGACAGGCGGGGAGGTGGGGTGGAAGGCAGGGGGCCCTTGAGTCAAATCCTGCCACTGTGACTCTTCAACAATGTCAATGACTGTTTTTAACTTATCTGGAGCTCCTCAAGACTCAAATTCTCCTAGCTAAAGTGGAAATGAGTGTGTGTGTGTGTGTGTGTGTGTGCGCACACGCAATACATCTAGGCCATCTCAGATGCAATTCTCAAACACTCTACCTATGCTTCTGTTTAATATATGAGTATTGATGCCATTTTACAGAGGGGAGGAGAACCATCTCTTTGATACTTTCCAGTTGAGCAATGCTCACGACACTAAAAAGTATTTCTTCCAATAAAAATGACACTAACAGTAACTGAGCAGAGCCTATGGCTAAATGACCATTTGAACTGATGATCACTAGATGGGGCTTATGATACGAACAAGAAAAACCGACCGCATTCAACACAGCCCCCACCGTGAAAAGTACAGCCCTGGGTGGCTCTTCCTCAATCGAGACACGCTGTAAGGATAAGATACAGTCGATCTCAAGGGCTTGACGCCAAGAAAGCAACAGAAGTCATTGCGTTGTAAAATATTTTAGAAAATGGATTCCATGTAGAAATAATATTTGAATAAGTGGAATTAAATACAGTTAAAATCAACGGTATCTGTTTCTTTAGCTGGTTTTAAGTGGGGCCGTCAGCAATCACAGAAGCACCTTGTGTGATATCTCTGTCGCTCAAGGCTGCTGCGAGCAGTCAGCCAAACACCAACACACACAATGGCTTCTCTCACACAGGGCAAAACCACCACAAACCAATATGAAGGCAAGTGTGTGATTGCTATGACCATTTCTTGCCCCGCCCACCTTAGGTGAGGCTCTTTCCTTTGGCTTCTTGGTCTTAGGTGACCTTGGAACAAAAGTCCTTCTCTCGTTTATCTCCCCAGATTCCCTAGTGTGACTGCCTCTCGTCTGTGCTGAGAGGACGGTACTTGATTTCTCACACTACACATGCTATGTCCTTACCAAGGCTACGCCACCTCCTTTTCCATTCACGATCTGCAAGGGGTGCTACCACCCCGGCCCCGGGCAAAATGAGAGGAGACAGCATAATCTCCAAAGCTCTGAGTGTTTAGCCTCAGCGAGGAGAGATGAAA